TTCGCGAGATGCTCTCTGGAGCTGGAGCTGGTGCCTGCCAGATCATCATCACCACACCCATGGAGCTGCTCAAGAGACAACTGCAAGATGCCGGAAGGACTGGTCTGTGTGTGTGTGTGTGCTTGTTTGTGTGTGTTTGTATGTGTGTGTGTTTATGTGTTTGTGTGTGTGTTTGTGTGTTTGTTTTTGTATGCTATGTTTTGTTGTCAATTTGTTTGTTACTTTCGCGTTTTGTTTCACAATATTCTTTAACTTTTTTTAGCACTAAACTTTCGAGGTTAACACTTCATTCAGAAGTTTTCTTAAACAATACTTGAACAGCGGGGAAAGCCCAACTGGACACGGCGGTAGGGGGTGGTGCGGGGCTGGCCCAAGTTCAGAAGCTGTCAGCCACCCGTCTTGCCATGGGCCTCCTAAGAGAAAGGGGCATATTCGGGCTGTATAAGGGTCTAGGGGCAACATTCACCAGGGATGTTACCTTCTCCGCCATCTACTTTCCGCTGTTTGCTCATCTCAATAGCTTGGTTCGTGCTCTGCCTCTTGCTGCTCTGTAGTGTAGTTTCGTTCGTTCGTTCGTTCTTTCGTTCGTTCGTTCGTTCTTTCGTTCGTTCGTTCGTTCGTTTATTATTTTATTTAGTTTTTCAATAAATAAATAGTCATATAAACGTGAAATTGTTGAAATAGTGGATGGTTGATTAAATTTGGAATCAAGAAGACAATGCAATCGAATGAATGATGAATGAATGAGTGAGTGGTTGAATACTCAAATGAATGGATGAATTGATGGATGGATGGATGGATGGATGGATGGATTGATTAATAAACCAGTGAATGAATACCAGTGAATGAATGCATGAACCAATCATCCAGGGAAAAAGACGAGAAGGAAGTTCTCAAGCAGTCTTTTATGTTTCATTCGCAGCTGGTTTGGCAGCCGGCAGCCTGGCTTGCTTTATGGTAACGCCTCTGGATGGTAAGTAGGAGGGGCTTGTTCAAATTATTGTTTGCTGGTCGGTCGGTTGGATGATTTGTTGATTTTGATTGGCTGCTGGCTGGGTGATTTGCTGATTTTGATTGGCTGATTGAAAGCGAGTGAGCAAGAGAGGCTTGTGTGCAGTCAGCGCTAAATGATGATTGGCTAGTCGGTTAGTTTGTTGATCTGTGATTGGTCAGTTAGCAGCATTGTGCGAGGGCCGGCCGTGATACTATTTATAACCATGGCGTGGTCATGATTGGGGTATCTGTAAGCACCTTTCAATACGAACAGTTGTGAAGACGAGGCTGCAAACCATCAATAAAGCCGAAGGAGAGAAAGTACATCGAGGAATTGTCGACTGTCTCATGTGAGTGTATATGTTTGTTGGATGTTTGTTTGTCTGTCTGTCTATCTATCTGTCTGTCTGTGTGTGTGTGTCTGTCTGTGTGTGTGTCTGTGTGTGTACTTTAGTTCGTGTCTATATATGTATGTATGTATGCATGCAAGTATGTGCGTATATGAGTGCATGCTTCTTGTACGCTCAATGAAATATTTTTCTTGCAGAAAAACCCAAGTCAAACACACACACACATACAAAAACACACAGACAAACACACACAGACAGACAAACACACACACACACGCGCGCGCACTAAACAGACGTACATACAGAGAAGAGGGGTGGAGAGCCCTATTCAAAGGCGGGGCCTGTAGAATGCTGGTCATCGCACCGCTCTTTGGAATCGCCCAGACGGTCTACTACTTCGGAGTGGCTGAGGCCGTGCTTGGGAGCATGGCGAAGTAACACAGCTTGATCATTATAACTACCATCATCAGCATTGCTATTGGCCAACTTTTTATTTCTAGTTTATCTTATTTTATCCGTATTAACAACCCAGGCTGATACCTAAGATACAAATACACACACACGCGCGCGCGCGCACACACACACACGCACACATATATATAAAACCACCATGTTTTTGCTAACACAATTGGTATAAATTCATAGTCACGTATATATGTATAAATATATATTGTATTTGGGATGACGATATTTTTATAAAACTTCATGAACATCACTTGATATTTCCTTCTCTCTTTCTCTCTCTCTCTCTCTCTCTCCCTCTCTCTCTCTCTCTCTCTCTCTCTTTCTCTCTCTGTTAAAAAATAAATAAATATATATATTTATATTTTCTATGTGTTCATTCAGTTATTCATTTAAAACAATCTTTACAATGAATACAGACGCGAAGGCAGGCATGTATGTTCATTTTATAGAACTTATGCATGGTTTGGGCTTTATCAATTGGTATTTAATCATTTTAAGGAACAATACCATGATAGAATCGTCGATATATACATATTTATTTAATATATTTTTAGCTAATTTTTTATCCTTGATCATGACTAAATGGAGAATTATGATGTGCTTCCGATTTTTATTAGTTATTATTATTATTTATTATTAATATTTATTATTATTATGATTTGGTTTCTTTTAAAGTACATTGTAAGTTTTTTTTTCATTTTGATTTTGTTCATTCATTAATTTAGTTCATTCTTTTGGTCGTTTATTGGTTAATGATTGACTGACTGACTGAATGAATCATTCATTTATTTATTCATTCATTCATTTATTCATTCATTCATTGAATTAATCCCATATATACCTTGGATTAATGTAGTTTCATGTAATTTATGTACGTAAAAAAGTATATACTGTGTATACATTGGCTGCCTTTATCATTCCAATAACACGAATAATAATAATATTATTATAATTATATTATAGTTTAATATTATTATTAATAATTATTAATTATAGCAGCAACCAAAATCACAACATAACTATTAACGGAAATTTTTTTAACATGTTTATTATATGTACTTGTATATGCAAACATTCAAAATTCTAGATACTGTTATAATATATATATATATATATATATATATATACATATAAAAATACATATATAAATATATATATTTATATATATTTAAATAGTGTATTGATAGTATTGTTTTATTTTGTTTGGTTGATTTTTTTGAGATAAAATGTATTTTTATGAGCGCTGTCTTTGCTCTATTAGTGTTAAAAAAGTAATAAGAATGAATGAATGAGTGAATTAATGAATGGGTGAATGAATAAGTGAATGAATGAGTGAATGAATGGGTGAGTGACTAATTATATCAATAAATGGACGAACGAACGAGTTGATGTAATATTGCCATTCCCAAATTAAAAATTATGGGCCACAAAAACTCATTTATATCATTCGTTTGTTCGGAACGACTGAATGAATGAATAGACGAATGAAAGAAAAAATGAATGAATGGATAAATAAAAGAAAGAAATAATGAATGAATGAATGAATAACAAACGAACAGATCAAACGATTTAGTATTTTAAAGCAATTTCAACTAAATGGCAGCCAAACAATATGCATCAACTGATCGCATTGCATATTGGCTTCTATGTTTAAATTGAAAAGCTGCCTTTACTACTACTACTGCTGCTGCTGCTACTGCTGCTGCTGCTGCTACTACTATTACTATTATTAAGACCAATGTTACTATATAAAATAAATTACTAGGACCTCATAAGTTATAACAAAAGCGCGCATTAAATGAAAATTTTTTATAATTTAATCATAATAAACTTGCCTTTCGATTCGTACGATTAAACTATTTCAAAATTATGATCGCACGTATCACGTCATGACAAGATAGAGTTGAATTGACAAAGCATTGTGTAGCTGATCGCATGTAAGTATGTGTTAGTGTTCGTTTGTATGTATGTATGTGTGTGTGTGTGTGTGGTGTGTGTGTGTGTATGTACGTACGTATGCATGTATATGTGTGGTGTGTGTGCTTATTTGTGCACGAGTTATTTAAGGTGTAGCTACCTATAGTTTATTAACATAATCAGAGATGCATGAAATTTCAAAGCGATGTTGGCTCAAAGTTGGGGTTTTGTAAGAGGTCGGAATATTATGTTTTTGGCGTTTTCGAGTTAATTATGTTATAATTCTGTAAATCTATTTTTGATTTCGATCAATTTTTAAAAATAATAAAAGAATTTTGGTTAATTTGTGATTGGATAAAACCACAAGTGTTGTTTAGGTATAATTTGGCTAGAAAATCAATCAATTAACCGGACAGTCAACCAACCAATCAATTAACCAATCCAATCAATCAACCAATCCAATCAATCAACTAATCAATCAACCAATCAATGATGAATTTCTTCAAACGTAAACCAACTTTCCTCCTCTCCCTCTCCATCATCATCTCCAACGTTCCTGACATATTGGCCTTTACAAGTAGTTAGTAACTGTGTGTTTTTTTTGCTCTCTGATTTTGGGTGTTGGTGGAATTTTAAACATTTTAGAATTAAAACTGTGGGATTGAACGTTTTTATTACTTTTTAGGTGATTTCGTTCAATTTCTCTCTCTCTCTCTCTCTCTCTCTCTTACTCGGTTTCTCTCTCTCTTTCTTTTTTTTTCTTACTCAGTATTTCTCTCTCCCTTGTTTAAAGATTCAGGATTAATTTTATTTGGGCGACGAGTGTGCTTGTTTAAAAAAAACGAGTTTGTAGCCGTTATTTTTAGACATTTCACTTTTCTCCCTTTCTTTTTATCTATCTCTTCCTTTCTTCCTCTCTCTCTCTCTCTCTCTCTCTCTCTCTCTCTCTCTCTTAATTTAATTTTGTTAAACAAATAAAACAAACTTTTGTTAAACAAACAAAGCAAACTAACAATCAAATAGCAGAATATCAAACTAACAATCAAACATCAAACAAATACAAACAAAATTTAAAAATTCCTTTAAGCCCCCAGACCATGCGGCTACGACAAAATCGCGGGCCAGAACACACAGGGGGGACTGGTACAGCCCTACAATACCCTTGAGGACTGCCAAAACATGTGCCCTCAGACCACGGGCACTAATTACTGTCAGTACGGATTCGATTGGGATAGCACTAATTTACCTAACAGGAGGTGCTGGTTCTCCACTAATAATGTTCTTGCGCCGGCCACTGGGATTGATCATTACTTCATTTCCTGTCCTTGTTAGTGGATGGATTGAACGAATGAATGAATGAATGAAGGAATGAATGGATGGATGGATGGATGGATGGATGAATGGATGAATAGATGAATGGATGAATGGATGAATGGATGAATGGATGAATGAATGAATGAATGAAAGAATGAATGAATGAATGAATGAATGAATGAATGAATGAATGAATGAATGAATGAATGAATGAATATAGTTTTAACGTTGAAACACAAAACTTTCAACAGTATCAAGTCCCTTGTCCGTAGTTCCTGGCATGACGACAATGCAAAACTTAGGTAAGGTAACAAAAACAGTAAATATTTAACTTCTTCCGGTCTGAACGCTAGCAGATCCTAGTCTGGCACATGCCACGCGTGTGCCAGTCTGGCATGATTCACGCCTAACCTTCGTTTGTGCTTTGTTAGAACGCCTCTAAGAATCGAGGTATAATTAAAAGAGAATAATTAATAATAATAATTACTGTAATAATATTAATAATAATAATATATATAATAATAATTATTATAACATAATTAATACGGGGGCAGTGCCACAGGAGTGCACCTGGACTCCTTATGGCAACACGAACACGAAAGGTGGTAGGGCCATCCCTTTAAAAGATGACACTCTGGAGAACTGCCAGCTCTACTGCAACCAACATCTGAATGAGTGTATGAAAGGTTTGATGAGGATGACGAGACTGATGATGGTGCTGGTTTTGCTTTTGTTGTTGATGATGTTGTTGTTGTTGATGATGTTGTTGTTGTTGATGATGATGTTGTTGTTGTTGATGTTGTTGATGATGATGATGTTGTTAACGTAGAAGATGACGATGATGACGATGTTTTTAATGGTGATGAAGATGACGATCTACCGAACGACACCACACAAATAACAAACAACAACATTACCGACTAAATATCGACAAACTATTAACCCTGAAAAAATCTCGACAATATCGACTAAAATACCGACACCGCAGGATTCGATTACAACCCTTCAAATCCGCCCAACATGCGTTGCTTCGTATCCACCGACACTAAATGGTACTTCACCACTGGCGTTACTCATTTTCAACCATCCAGTGCTTGCTACGGTATGATTGGCTGACGGGTTTGACATACCTCGATGTGATTGGTGGATTTTGAAATGCTTCGATGTTATTGGCTGATAGGCTTTAAATGACACAATCGCCCGTTATTGGACTTTTACATTTTGATTGGAGGGTTAATTTGATTGAATGCTGCACTGTGATTGGTGGATATGATAAGAAACTAATTCACGATTGGTCAATGTTAGAACGCTGCATTTTGATTGGACGCTGTTAAAATAATGCAATATAAGTGGTTGATTTTGATTGGTTGATCGATGACGAAGACGAACAAAAGAGTATTAATAATATAAATTTTATTATCATTTGCTAAAATATTCCAACAAACTTAAATTTTTTTAAACCAAGGACAAACACCAACGCCATATCCAAGAAGAAATAGAGCTGGTAAGCCTGGAAAATTAAAATAATAATAATTATAATAATAATAATAATCATATAAATAATAATAATAATAAATTTTATTCGTTTTCAGGCACTCCAAGATTCAATCAATCGCTCATAGGTAACATAATAATAATTACATTTTTGAGCTTGAAGGTATTTTAATAAAAAAACAATAATAATAAATATAATAATAATATTTATTATGATTTTTAAAATAATTTTTTCAGGCATTTTACTGGCTGGGCTGCTAGTGAAACTTCTGACCAATGGAATGTGATCAATGTTATTCGGCTAAGAACCATTGTGATATACTCTGAATTATTTTTAATTATAATTATAATTAAACCAATAATTATAATCATAATAATAACAATTGTTATTATCAATAATTAATTTAGAGATTTTTATATAGCCAATTAAGTTATCAACAATCATATTTATATGTATTAATATTTGTATTCTTATGTGATAAAATTTAACGTAAGAATTTTGCATTCTCCTTTTTCAATAATAAAATTATTTATTTATTTATTCATTCATTTGTTTATACATTTTTTTTATTCATATATTTATTTGTTTTATAATTTTTTCAATTATTTGACGGAAAATATTGAAATAGTGATAGCCAGTTGTAGCTCTTAGAACTCATTACTAGCCGAACTCATCATTTCCTATTTCTAACCAAGTTTTCTTAATTAAATGAACAATTAATTAATTAACTAATTAATTACGCGATCAATCAATAAAGTGATTAATTAATTTTGGTTTAAGTTTTTCCCTCTGATCTTTCGCTTAAATTCGAAATAAAAATATTTTAAACTGGTGATAAAAATGGCTTTAAAAATACATGGATGTTTGTATATGTGTAAGTGTTGTATGTGTGTGTTTGTTTGTGTGTGTCTGTGTGTGTGTGTGTGTGTGTTTGTGTAGGGATTTTAAACAATTATTGTCGTTGGTAATTTGTGGGATTCCTAATTAAATACAATTTTAAAATCAAAAATCTATGTGATGTCACAAAATTGAAAGTTCTTGAAAAATTTCCAATCATGTTAGAGCTAAGACAAAGATGTAAGTATAATATAATATTTTGATACTTTAAAACAGTTCAGAGTTGTAGTTTGTACGGTGTTATGCAACACTGTCCTACTCATAACTGCTTGCGTGTCGTCCTGTAAGTATAGTATAGTTCAATTCTCGTAAAGAGAAAGAGAGAAAGAGAGAGAGAGAGAAAAGAAGAAGAAGTAGTAGTAGTAGTAGTGGTAGTAGTAGTAGTAGTAGTAGTAGTAGTAGTAGTAGTAGTAGTAGTAGTAGTAGTAGTAGTAGTAGTAGTAGTGGTAGTAGTATGTAGTAGTAGTGTTACTAAAATCTTAAGCCAGTCCCAGCGTTAGGATCAGAATGCCAGCAGAACAATGCAATGTTATTTTAGCAATAAAATAATAATAATAACTTTCATTATTTATAATTATAATTATTATAATTATTTTTATTATTGTTGTTTCTATCGTTCGATTGAAATCTTCAGCTCGGCGTAATTTCTTAATTAATATTTG